ACGGCTCAGGCACTGCCAAAACGCCTCCCGCAAAGGCCGCCCCCAAGCTGCCTCCCAAGGCCAAAGCGCCTTCAGCAGCAGCAGCAGCAGCAGCACTTGACGGAACCCCCGAGGGGGCCCCCCAGGGGGCCCCCCAGGGGGCCCCCCAGGGGGCCCCCTCCAAGGGGCCCCCCAAGCTGGCCCCCAAGCTGGGCCCCAAGGGGCCCCCTCAGGGGCCCCCCAAGGGGGCCCCTTCCCCCAAAAGTGGGGACATGGGGGCCCCCAGGGACTCGGGAGTACTTACGGATTCTGAAGAAGCAGCAGCAGCAGATAAGCAGCTGCTGCTGCCAAAAGGGGACTCTACAGAGGCCCTGAAGCAAGGCAGCAGCACGGAAATCAGGATCCTCTACCTTCGCAGGCACGCTGCTGCTGCTGCTGCTGCTGCTGCTGCTGCTGCTGGTGCTGGTGTTGTGGGCGTCGAGTTTGTTAAGCTGCTGCTGCGCTAGGGGCTGCTGCTGCTGCAGCGCCTCCCCGTGCTGCTGCTTTTGCTGCTGCTGCTGCCGCTTTTGCTGCTTTTGCTGCTGCTGCTGTCTGTTCTTCGCTAGCTGTTGTCCCCCTAGTCTCCCCCAGCAGTGTGGTGGCTGCCCGCGTTTGCCCCCACCCCAACCAAACCCGCTGCTGCTGCTGCTGCTGCTGCTGCTGCTGCAGCTTGGAGTCCTCGGGAGACAAGCAAAAGATCGCTTTGCTGCAGGAAGCTTTTGGGGCTGAAAGCATTTTTGCCCCGGCGTTGGGGGCGCGTCGAACTTTGCTGCTGTTCAGTGTGGGGTTTTTGCTGCTGCTGCTGCTGCTGCTGCTGCTGCTGGTGGTTTGCTTCCGGGCCTCGCACTACTTCGCGGGGGCCCTTGCTGCTGCTGCTTTCTGTCTTGTGTCTCTCTTTGGCTTCTGCTTTGCCTGGAGATATTTAAATCAAATTATTATTCAAAAAGCAGCAGCAAAAGCAGAAAGTGCTTTTAATGCATTTCGACCCAACTGCATTGTTGCTGCTGCTTACGGTGCTGCTCTCGCTCTCCAGATCGATACCCCCAAAGTCCCCATGGTCAGCTGCTGCTGCTGTTGCTGCTGCTGCTGCTGCTGCTGGTGTTCCACATGGTGCTGCTGCTGCACCAGCTGCTGCTGCTGCTGGACATGGTGCACATGCTGCTGCTGCACCTGCTGTTGCTGATGCTCCAGGTGTTGCTGGTGTTGCTGCTGCTGCTGCTGCTGCTGCTGCTGCTGCTGCTGCGCTTGTAGTGTTGGTTGTTTGCGTGCGGGGTGTGTGCAGGTGCTGCTGTGCCCGAGTCCGTTCTCTTCGTGGCGTTTGCTGCCGCAGCAGCAGCAGCAGCAGCAGCGGCGCTTCTCGCAGCAGCTGGG